ATTTATATAAGAACCTATTTAGGCTAAACTGAAAAATTCAGGTTCTTATACGTGGGCTATTACTGTATTGGATTGGTTTTTCCCCTTCCGGCTCCGACAATCTAATTTTCACTGGAGCCACGGAGTCGTAAGCGGAATGGGAAGAAAATGGAAGCGTTCCGATTCTTCTGACCGATTCTTCTATGATTCCATTCAGTACGACTCTGATTTTCGACTAGCGTTCTTGATAGAGAGCTTAAGCAATGACAACGGCGACCCGGATTTATATGTTGCCTTCAAATGTCGCCATATATTGTCCAGATCTGTTCGATGCGCCTATTAGTCTCAGAACTTGCTCAAGCTAAATATGTGACACCAGAGTTCAATTCTAAATGAAAATACGAAAAATCAGCGGCCGTCGTTCGCCTTCTCGAAAATACGCAGAACTTGGTCATTTCACGTTGCAAGTTGTTGTGCAGAGAACGACAAAGAAATGAACAAAGATTTATAACAAATAAATGAAGTTTCTATCATTTATAACGTGCACAGCCATTGTCCTACTCATTGAAGGAGGGTTTCACAGTTCGGCGCTTGTCTGTATTATTTATTCGCCACGTTTTTTGGCACAGGCCCAGTTTTTCATTGTTTAGCAAGTTACCTAAAATTTCAATGCAAATAGTCGTAAAATCATCACCCTATAATATATCGTACGGGTCAAAACTAAATTCAACGATCGACAGCATCGGTAAAATCCACCGGGGTTTTTAAAGCAATAACATTGATAAGAAGCAAACAAAAGTATTTTGATTGAGAGATATGCGCCGAACGGCGAAACCCTTCCTTTAAACCTTTTTATTTGGTGGTGTTCTCGTTGCCGTTGCCTTCGTGGTTTGCTAAGCTCTCTAAATTACTATTTTTGACTACGACTCGGTCGGTAGCGAAAACCATTCCAGCCTTAACAAAGACTTAAAATCAGGTCTTTCGGGATTGGATGCAAGCCATCAATTGCACATTAATAGACTTGTGGCAACCCCAAGATATTGTGTCGTCTTATATTGATACATGCTTTGTGAAACTACTGACTTCGAAAAAACTTCTTCTTGAGGC